TCTGCAGTTCCTACTATCTCTGAAACAAATTTAATCTGTAGATGGAAGGGTCATTTTCACCGAAAAACTAGGCTGATGAGCACAGTCAAGACTTCTAATAGTCAGTTAACACATAACTGAACTATTGGGCTCCATGACAAAGTTAACCACTGCAAGCTAAGATGATTCTTAAGGCACAGGCTTAAAGAAAATCAACCTGAAAATGAAAAAAAAGATTGAGAATAAAAGTGGTTATTGCTAGTCCTAGTAACAAAGCCTTAACTCTAAAGTTGGCAGGTAAGGAGTCTTAATAATTTTAAATATTAAAATATGAAAACTCAGAAAGAAAAATAGCATGAGTCTCATCACATGAGGTTGAATTTTACCTCCAATTGCTAAGGGTGAATTTCAAGGAATTTCACAGTTTTCTGTCCGTGAGGTCTGTCAAGTTATCTCACACAATTCTCTGCAGCTTATCTTGTGTATGCATCACACGCTGTGGTACTGCAGCAGTGGATATACTTGCCACTACCAGTGCCTTCTGCAATACACACTGCTGGTGCTACAATTAAAGCAACTATGCAACACCAGGTCAATGCTGCCAGTCACAAATAGCACTTCACCGTTGGAATATGGGAAGAATTTTACCACAGATAACAGACAGAGGCGAGTTTGCACCCCAGTTTGTCAACTGCCATTCAGTTGTGGACAGGATGGTCATCAGGACCGCTAAGGGAGACTACACCATCAGACCCTGCCAGCTTGGTCCAAAATTGCCCTCCAGGTCAGTGAGACATCCACAATCTGGGCAAGAAGATAGTTAATGACTTTCTAAGTACCACAATCATAAATGCCACTGTCTTCTCTCTCCTGTTGCCCCACTCACTAACTGTGCCACTACACACCCCTTTCAACAAACCTCACTGCCTACCACACTCACTCTTGCATGCAGCATCTTCCTTCAATGGCTCTTACCCACACCAACCGACTAATGCTTCCTGCCCTCCAATCTGCCTACATTCAGGACACCTCACACCTTTCCCCTACCTGCAACACAGTAACAACGGTACCAGCCACTTTCATCTCTTTCAGTCCTTGCTTATGTCTCATTTAAGTTGGATTGAATGCCAAGTGTTTTGCTGCTGCCTCATTACCTGCACAATGAGTGTATTTTTACCATGCCCAAGCTTCTTACCTCTATTTCACAACTACTTCTGCAGGGACCAGCAATGTATGCAGTCTCTGCCTTGAAGAGACTAGCACCTCCTCCACCTGTGACTAGGAAGTCACAGATCCCTTGGATGAAGCAGTGGTGAGGCTGTAATCTGCGATTTCCACCAGCTCAGACACTGACATGGCGGTGGCTATTTCAGCTAGATTAGAATTGGGAGCTGCCCGTAGAGTGTGCCTTTGGATGTTGGGGAGTGCTGGACAAGATGGATCTCCAGGACAGCAAGTAGCAAGCTCAAACTACCAGATCCCTGCTCACACAGGAGGGAGGAAAGCGAGCTGCTTATATAGGAGGTGAAAATAGGTAAAAATCATAGAACAGTACAGTGCAGAAAGAGGCCATTTGGTCCATCAAGTCTGCACCAACCCTCCGAAAACCCAAACCCTCACTCTATCCCCATAACCCCACATGGCCAATCCACCTAACCTGCATAGCTTTGAACTGTGGGAGGAAACCAAAGCACCTGGCAGAAACCAACACAGACACTGGGAGAATGTGCAAACTCCACACATACAGTCACCCAAGGTAGGAATTGAACCCAGATGCCTGCAGCTGTGAGGCAACAGTGCTAACTACGGAGCCATTGCTGGAATAATGTGGCTAGTCTCCTTTAGCCGCTGGCTTCTAAATTGCCTGATTAGAGGAAGGCATGATGGCACTTACTTTGGAGAATCACTTGGGATATCTAACCAATTTACTAGCAACTGAACAAGACAGTCGATGAAAATAGTAGATTCTACCCACTGTCTCCTTTCTTTGACTAGCATGTTTGGCAGACTCAAACTTCATGACCATTTAATTGCTTAAACTGTTAGGTTCTCTGATACTTTCCTCGCTTTTGTTTATTCTCAATCACCTCAGTTCAGATTTGACTCATTTTGAATAAACTAACATCATGATGACTCAACTATGATGAGGTATATGCATATTGTTATTATCAAGTTTAGAAGTGTAAATTATTTTCTTCATTCTTCCCTCCTAATGTTGGTTATAACATAGCTTTAAAAAAAAGACTTGATATCTCAATTCAGTATGTACTTGGCCATGTGTAAGGCAATGAGGAAAAAAATTCGGTTGAATAAGCAAGTATGAGGAGAGATTGACTAGGTTAAGAATTGTTTTCGCTGGAGTTCAGACAAATGAGGGGGGATTTCATAGAGACTTATAAAATTCTAACAGGACTAAACAGGGAAGATGCAAAGAGACTGTTCCTGTGGGTGTGTCTAGAACCAGGGGTCACAGTCTGAGGATTTGGGGTAGACCATTTAGGACGGAAATGAGGAGACATTTCTTCACCCAAAAGTGGTGAACCTGTGGAATTCATTATCACAGGAAGTAGTTGATGCCAAAACATTGAATGTATTCAAGAGGCAGCTAGATATCGCACTTGGGGTGAATGGGATCAAAGGTTATGGGGAGAAAGCAGGATTAGGCTATTGAATTGGACGATCAGCCATGATCGTGAAGAATGGCAGAGCAGGCTCGAGAGGCTGAATGGCCTCCTCCTGCTCCTATCTTCTATGTTTATATGTAGATAGTTTTAGTATTTTAAATACTCACTCAGTTAAATGCATAAACATTATTAAAAGGTATGACTGTCCCAAATCTTTAAGCATGCACACTCACTAACAAAGTAAAACAATACAAATTACAAGCTCAGGGGAGGTGAATTTGAATAAAAAGTTGAAGTCTGAAAGTACATTCTAGGGTTCCATGGTTGGTGAAGTTCCAGTGGGCTTACTGACCATGCGAACTGGTGGCCGTTTTAGAGTGGATGATATGGCATATGAAGTTTAAATTTAATACCTGTGATATTTTTCAAATTGTGACAGGAATAGGGTCTGAGCCTTAAAAAAGATACTTTTGAGAGAGAGTGGCTGTGCTTTTAATGTTACTGTGTAACCAACAGACAAGTTTATAATATAATTTTTCACGAGAATGTGTTCTGGTCATGTGATAGCTGACCTTTGGCATACAATAGGAACAATCCATGTGAACAGAGGAGTTTCAATCTCCCATTGTCAAAGCTACCACGATGCCATTGATAAATACAGGAGAGACTTCAGCATTTTCTTTTTGCAGAATGAATTTAGGGAAGTTGCTTTTAGTCTGTGGTTATTTCCGCAGATGAGATGTTTGTTGCTGCTTGTGAGTTTCAACTGTTTTAATACAAATCAGTAGCTTAGCTAACAAAAATGGAAATTGCTGGTGAAGCTCAGCAGGCCTGGCAGCATCTGTGGGAAGGGAGCAGAATTAATGCTTCAAGTTTGGTGACTCTGATGCATCACTAGACTTGAAATGTTAACTGTGCTTTCTTCCCACAGATGCTGCCAGACCTTCTGAGCTTCACCAGCAATTTGTGCTTTTGTTTCACATCTCCAGCATCTGCAGTTCTTTGGTTTATTTCAGTTGCTTAGCTATGTTGTTTAGGCATCTGTTTTGTACTTCACTGTGAAGCTTGACAGATTAGCTGTCTTCTGGAATGATTTTAAAATGCATGTCATGGCTCATTTAAAGGTATTTCTTTCAAACAAGTATCCCAAGTATTAAAATCCATCAATGAAATTAAAGATTAATACATTTAAAGTATATTAAATGTTTTCTGTATTTTAATATTGTGTATCAGTAATTTGGCTATGACCATCAAAGACTGGCATTTTATGCAAAAGCAAACTTGAATAAGATTAAAATACATGATCCATAAACCTCAAGAATAAATGAGTTAGGACCTTATACTGAAGTGTTTATTATGGTTGTCTTTCTTTCCCCAGTTCCCTCTGGTCCTTACTTCAAGGTGCTCATTCTGACTGGGAAGTTTTCAAGTTTCGGTAGATGAGCTACTGAGGTCCCAGTTTCAATTTTCAGTCTGTGCTGAACTCACTTAAGTCAGCTGAGATAGCTTGAAGAGTGAAGTAATTAACTTTTTATTTTCCTGCATTAGGAAGAGTACATCTGGCAACAATTTACTGCATCCTAATCACAGGCAGCAAGGATTGAATTTGGCTCAATTATGATGCACTCTACAGTTGAATAACCTGACACTCCAATGCATTGTCCAAACATACAAACATATTACTGACCAATGGAACTATGTGCGAGCAAGGATTACAGTTTCTTCAGGGAAAGAGTAGTGAAAAATAAATATTTCTCAACATCATAAAAGCAACATTTTGATGCTGCCTTTCCCCATTTGGATTCATTTTTCACACTCCTGTCATCAAGGATGATGCCAATTACATAATACCAAGTGAACCTAAAATGTATAAATGCAGTGTTGTCTATAGCTTCTTATTGAGCAACAATAGGTTATGTCTCTGGACAGTGAGAATATGGTTACAGTAACATTTGAAATAATGTGGGTGTTGATTTATTTTGATAAATTATGTAAGTAGGATAAATGTTGTCGGCGGTTGCACCCTAGTTAAACAAAGTACAATTGCAGTGAAAGGATCAGTGGCATTTTGGTCACATAAAACGCCTTTTAATTTAATTATCGTTGTTGAGTGCAATTATGATTTAAACTTCAGACTGAGAAAATAAATGTCTTAATTTGCATTACTTTTGTTGTTGTTTTAGATTTCAAGCTGTAGTCAGAAATTGAATGGAATTTTGAATTAGCTATTAACCATCCAAATAGGAAGATTGTATCCTAGGTTTATGTATGAATGATAGAATTATTTAATAATTCTAAATTTCAAGTTGTAAGTGTAATAATGATTGACTTTCCAAAATAATGGGGTATTTTCTTGTTTTACAAGACTAACCAGGCTACTTTGTTTTATTTTGACAGTTGGCAGTCAGGTGGTTGGAAAATGGCTGTCGATATCAGTATCTGGATGAGCTCTTACAATATGTACGCTTTGGTTTGATGAACGTTGACACACTACATGCTGTAGCCCTGTCCCACCCTCTGGTTCAGGCCAGTGAAACTGTCACAGCTTTCATAACTGAATCCTTGGAGTACCACCAGAGCATCTATGCACAGCCCATATGGCAAACTATCAGGACACGACCTCGCTTTCAGTCAGAAACACTTTATATTGTAGGTGGTAAGAAACGCGAGATTTGCAAAGTGAGAGACCTGCGTTACTTTAATCCAGTGAACCAGGAGAATGTTCACATAGCGAGGGTTTCAAACTGGAGTGAGCTGTCTCCGATGCCTGTGGGAAGAAGTCATCATTGTGTGGCTGTCATGGGAGACTTCCTTTTTGTAGCAGGTGGAGAGGTGGAACATGCAACAGGTCGCACCTGTGCAGTGAGGACTGCATGCCGTTACGATCCTCGCAGTAACACTTGGACAGAAATAGCTCCCATGAAAAACTGCCGCGAGCATTTTGTACTTGGAACCTTGGATGAATATCTATATGCAGTGGGTGGGAGGAATGAACTGCGACAGGTTTTGCCTACTGTCGAGAGATACTGTACAAAGAAGAACAAGTGGTCTTTTGTACAGTCCTTTGATAGATCACTCTCCTGCCATGCAGGATGTATGGCTGATGGGCTCCTTTGGATATCAGGTAAGGATCAACAGTTTTGTGTTCTAATGCCATCTGCTGAGAATCCTTCATGTACAAGTCTGTTTTACTTTTTTAAGCCACAAATAGGTTAAACAAAAGAAAGGTTTGTTAAAGAGAGAAACTGATCTAATTTTTGATGGCTATATAAGTTTTGTAAGTACTTTGTAAATAAATAATTAGGATCTATATACTGTGATTGATACAGGTTAGAATGTTAAAACATTTATAACTATAATATTTCACCTTTTATAGCATAAGAATTAAGGCAACCTGTCATGCTTTGACTACTGTCTTGGTTCAGATAGGTTTCTGCTGCTACTTCAAAGAATAAATAAATATTTTCAAGCAACACTCTTTAGAAAACCACATGTTTCAATAAAATCTGATCACGTTTTAATCTTCCTCACATATGAAAATTGAGTCTGGGATTGGAAAATATGACAACTTCGAATAAAAGTGAAGAGAAAGAAAAATGTTGTAATTGTAAAATTGTGCCTAACTTCAGTTACTAGAAACTTCATTTTCTTTAAAGGCATTGCGAGTGACAAATGTAATTGTTTTGAGAAGGCGATGGATAGAATTTTCAGGAAGTATTTGACAAGACACATTTCCTCATTATACCATTAATAACTTGTATTTGTATAGCACTTCTAACAAAATGAAATTATGCAAGGCACTTCAGAAGCTTTAAAAAACAAAATTTAACACTGAGCCACATAAGATTTTAGGTTAACCAAAGCTTGGTCATGGACATTGGTTTTAAGGAACATTCTTAAAGGGGGAAAGCCATAGTAATGAGACAAGAAGTTTAGGGAAGGAATTCTAGAGATTTGGTCTACGTAACTGGAGACACAGCCGCCAATAGTGTAATTAGAATTAGGGATTCACAAGAGGCCAGATTAATTGTGCATAGGTATTGTGAAGAGTTGTGGAGTTGAAGGAGATTATTAAAATCGGGTGAAGTGAGGCCATGAAGAGATTTGAAAAGCAGGATGAGAATTTTAAAATCAGGGCATTGCCTGATTGGGAACAAACAGAAATCAATAATCAGAGGTGGTGTTAAGCCAATGACCAAAGACATAGGCGACAGTGTTCTTTTGATGGCTTTGAGTTTACCAAGGGCTGAGCTGGAGAATCAGCTTTGGAATAGACAAGTACAGCGGTAAAAAGATAAGGCTGAGAATTTGAGCTTCAGATAAACAGATTGGGGTGTAGTCAGATGAAATCACATCAAGTGTGAGGCACAGCCCGTGTGAGTATATATTTCTGGGATTTTGGAGCATTGTGGGAATTCAGTGCAGAGGGGAAGAGGTGCTTTTCACTCAGTTGTTTTGGTTCATGGTTTGTAAAGTCTTTTTTTAGCAGGATCAATTGAAGCCCAGGATCGGGTGCCCAGCACAAAGCAAAAAGTGACATCACAGGCAAACCATTGCTTATAGCTACTAATTTGACTATCTATTATAGGTTACATTCAGGTCAGTGGTAAAGAGGACAAATATTTTACAGACTAAAAACTAAAAGACCAGTCAGAAACTTTTAAATAAACAAATTAAGTTGTAATTAAAATAGAGATGCAGGGCCAGGTGATGTTGTAGCAGCATGTCATGCGAGCTGGTGCACCCCATCATGGTTCACAGTGACTACATTTGTCAGTTGCTTGAAGAACTCCAGCACAGAGTTGATGAGCTAGAGTCCAAGGATCAAACACTGCAAAACATCAGGAAGGAGGAGAGTTACCAGATGCTGTGTTTCAAAAGGCAGTCACATCCCTTCGATTAATTACCCGAATTCGGTCAGTAGTCAGGGACTGGAAGGTGTGAGTGCCAGTGGGGCAGACAGAGGGATCCAAAAGGTAGTGCTGCAAGACCCTCAGCCCTTGAGCTTGTCCAACAGGTTTGAGATTCTTCCTCCCTATGTGGACGAGAGCGGGATGTGGCTATAGGGAGGATGAGCAAACTGACCATGGAACAGGGAGCCATTGAACAGCAGGATGAAAAGAGAAATGTAGTTGTGATCAGGGGTAATTTAGTCATGGGAATAGGCACTGTTCTCTGCAGCCAGGATCAAGAGTCCCAAAGGCTGTGTTGCATACCTGGTGCTTAGGTTCATGATATCTCATCTGGGCTGCAGAGGATATTGGAGTGGGAGGGAAATGAACCAGTTGGCATGTTCTATGCAGATACCAATGATATAGGTACAAAGACTAAAGAGGTTCTGTTGAGGGAATAGGAGTAGTTGGGGGCTAATTTAAAGAGTAGAACCAAAAAGGCAATAATTTCCAAATTACTACCTGAGCCATGAACTAATTGGTACAGGGCCAACAAGATTAAAGAGGTAAATGTGTGGCTCAAAGTTTGGTTGGTTTGGAAAATGCGTTTGAATTCATGGGATATTAACACTAGTGCTGGGGAAGGAAGGAGATGTTCCAGTGCTCAACCTGAATTACACTGGGATCAAGACCTGAAATGCATAACTAGGCCTGTAGACAGGGCTTTAAACTCAATAGTGGGAGGGCCGGAATTGGGTGTGTGCAGCTGCATGGAAAATCATAAAATCAGAGGTAAAGGAGAAGGTAGAGTTGCAGGTTAGTGTTGAGGTTAATCGTTACCAGAAAATAAAAGGAAAGGACAGAATGTGACTGTCATATTGTACCAAGGAACCACAAAAGTATAGGGAAATTTGATAATATAACAAACTTAAAGGTTTCATGTCTTATTACACAAATCATTGAAATACATTAGATGAACTGATAGTACAAATTGAGGTAAATGAATGTGATTTCGTAGCCATCATGGAAACATGGTTACAAGGAACTCAATAATGAGAACGTAACGTTCAGGGATATTTGACCTTTTGGAGAAACAGGAGGGATGGGAAAGGTGGTGGGATAGCACTATTAGTAAGTGATGAAATGAGGACAGTTGTGAGAGATAATCTAGGCTTGAATGATGTAGGGTCTATTTTGGTGGAGGTAAAAATGGCAAGAGAAAGAAGGAAAATGTAGGAGCAGCGTACAGATCACCAAACACTAGCTACTCTGTAGGAAAGGCTATAAATCAACAAAGAATAGAAGCATGTAAAAAGAATACAGCAATAATTATGGATGCCTTTAATCTCCATGTTGATTGGGTTAATTAAATTGGAAAGGGTAACTACGACAACCAATTCAAAAGTACGTCAGCGATGGTTTCCTAGAGCAATATGTCAGGTAGCCAACCAGGGAGCAGGCTACTTTGGATAAAGTAATGGATAATGAGGCAGGTTTAATAAATGAACTCTGAGTAAAAGATCCCCTAGGAAGTAGTGATCATAACATCATAGAATTTAATATCAGTTCAAGGGTGAGAAATGTGGGTCAGAAACAAATGTGTTTAACTTAAATAAAGGGAATGATAATGAAATGAGGACAGAATTAGCTAAAGTAAACAGACCTGATGGATTAACAGGAATGACAGTAAGCAAGTAATGACAGACATTTAAGGAGGTAATTCATGATTCTCAGCAAAAGTATATCCCAGGAAAGAGGAAAGATTCTGAGAAGTATAAACCAACCATGGTTAACCAAGAAAGTTAAGAAGAGTATTAAGTTGAAAGATAAAGCATGTAAGGAGGCCAAAGTCAGTGATAGCCACAAAGACTAGGTTAAATTCAGAATCCAGAGAAGGAGGACTAAAACAATAATAAAGGCACAGAAAATTAACTACAAGGGCAAACTAGCAAGGAATATAAGAACTGACAATAAGAACTTCTGTAAATATAATATACAGGAAGTGAAAAGTCAAAGTGAACACAGGCGCCTTAGAAAATAAATCTCTGGAGAAGGTTATGAGGAACAAGGAAATGGCATAGAAACTAAACAGATATTTTGCATCAGTCTGTACAGTGGAAGATACTTTAAGCATCCCATTAATACTAAAGAATGCAGGAGAGGAATTAAGTATGACCACCATCACTAAAGAAGTAGTATTAGGCAAACTAATGGTGCTAAAGGCTGCTAAATCCCCTGGCTGTGATGACCTGCCCCCTAGAAACTACAAAAAGGTAGATATAGAGATAGTAGCTGCATTCGATGTGATATTCCAAAAATCCTTGGTTTCTGGAGAAGTACCAGAGGATTGGCCAACTGCCAATGTAACACCCCTATTCAAAAAGGAAGGGGGGAACAAAGCAGGTTAATTATAAGCTGATTAGCCTAACATTTCTTGTTAGAAAAGTATTGGAGTCAACTATTAAGGAAGTAATAGGGGCGGCACGGTGGCTCAGTGGTTGGCGCTGCTGCCTCACAGCGCCAGGGACTCGTGTTCGATTTCACCCTCAGGCGACTGTCTGTGTGGAGTTTGCACATTCTTCCTGTGTCTGCGTGGGTTTCCTCCGGGTGCTCCGGTTTCCTCCCACAGTCCAGAGATGTGCAGGCTAGGTGGATTGGTCATACTAAATTGCCGATAGTGTTCAGGGATGTATAGATTAGGTGGGTTATAGATGGATGGGTCTGGGTGGGATGCTGTGAGGGTCGGTGTGGACTTGTTGGGCCAAAGGGCCTGTTTCCACACTGTAGGGATTCCATGATTCTGTGAACATATGGCAAGCCTTAATCTAATCAGGCAGGGTCAGTATGACTTCATGAAAGGGAAATAGTGTCTGACTAATTTTAATACAGTTTTTGGAGAAAATCTAAACCAGAGTGGACAGAAGGAACAGTAGATGTGTTGTATTCGGACTTCTAGTAGCCATTCAACAAGGTACCTTTCAAAACATGTTCGTAATAAGAGCCCCCGGTGTCGGAGGCAGTACATCAGAATGGATAGAGAATTAGTTAATGAGCAGGAAACAGTGAGTGGGGATAAGGGTTCTTTTTCACATTGGAACTCCATTGGTTACCAGTTGCCACAGAAATCAGCATTGAGACCACAACAATTTACAATATGTATTAATAACTTGGGGGACACTGGATTTACTGTAGTCAAATTTGCAGATTACACAAAAATAGGTGGAAAGGTAAT